AGCTTATTTTTATTCAGTCTGTTTTGTTTTAAATTCTTCGCTCATATAAAATCCTTTTCCCGACTATCATATATTGCCTTATAACATCTCCTTAATGTTAAACCGAGAGCAGCGATACGTGTCATAGCTAACAGATTCCTTTAGTCTGACGAAGGTAAGACAAGATTAATCTGCGTAAATTATTGTATATAAGTAAATCTTTAAATATTATATTCCATATTCTGCAGCTAGCTGGTCCTTCAATCTAGATTTATCGTCCTTGTCGAGTAACAGACATGAAGTAGAGCCATACAACCTTTTTATGACTTTCTCAGCTATTCAACCTACAGGATTCGCCATCGTAACGCACAGCAACACGGATACAACAGGACTATATTTATTATGAAATAGCAGCGACTATATATACATAAACATCAATGGATTTTTATCGGAGGCCACTTGTCATTGTCTTCTGAGGCAATCGTTAACGTCGCCCGCTATCTCTGAAGCTTTGCGGGATCAGAAGCGCGCCTTTATCTAACTGACATTCCAGCGACCATTTATTGCCAGGCGATTCCTGATATTCCGCCGGGCTGAGTAGTACATTGTTCACTGACCTTTCAGTGCTTGAATTGCACCCGGTCTTCCCTCTGGAGCATTGCTTTGTTGAATGAAATACCACTGTAGAGCAGGCACTATGCATATTTCTAATGACTGTCAAATTGTCATATGCATTGTGTGTCCCGGGTATTTTAAATAATTCAAAACGGTTTTATAAAAATATTTAGCCACATCATTAACATGCAAAATAAACGTAACCTGAATGACAAAACAATGAAAACGCTCTGCATGGCGCGAGAGTGAGGTAATATTTACCACGTAAGATGGAAAAGTCAGATTGTCTCTTTGCCCTACGCTACGACCATTTATTGCTGCAAAGTGTAATTGCAAAAATTAATTGTTTTACCTACTGAATAGTAAACAGTGTAATTAGCAGACAACCACACAACTTGTGAACATTTTTCTTCGTTGAATCTTTTTGCTTGAATTTTCCAGAACCAACTGCGTTGGTATTATGAGGGTTAGACTTTTCTTGGATTATCGGTTTTCGATTTTTCCCGGTACTTTTGTATGAAAATTGTTCATTTTGTCTTAAATTTAGATTAAGCTTCAAATTATACTGAAATTTTGAAATGAGTTTTATAATTACAGAGGTGTTATTGTACGAATACATGTAAGTGAAAGCTGTAAAAAGCCCGTTCTATATGGAAAATCCACAAGCGCAATATCAAAGTGCAGGAGTTCAGCGAATAAGAGATAATATAAGGGCACCGTTCCTCTCAGTGGTTTCGGCAGCCGGGTCAACATCTCGGCTAAACCAAGAAATACGCTTAAAAAATCCTAATGTACCTTGCCTTGGCTTAGTTACTGCAATCATGTGGCATAAAAGTCCGCATTTCATAAAAAATGGGAAAGCACCGTCAAATAGCGCACAACAGTGCTGGATTCAACACACAGTAACCGCCCAATAACGCATCATGTAGGGAGTGACTAAATTCTTTTT